TTTTCATTCTGGTAATAATAAATCTGTTCTAATGTTATCTCAAGCTGATGTAAAACAATCCCCAGTCCAAGAGATGAACATTGCTAAGATACACATTTTGTTTTTAAGTTTGCTTTTATCAGGATAAGGTGGATGAAAGAGAAATGAAACCAGTTAGAAGAGCTGTTGTGGTGATGTCGTGCAGTTAGACGGCCAAAACTGTCAAAATGCAAAAAATCTGTAGGAAATGGTTCACAACAAGTCACTCTTTAAGACTAGTCTGGTAACTTAACTGTGTACACACTTGTTTTCCATGAAGCACATTCTTTTTCAGTCACTAACCTGCTGAAACGTAATCAACATATGAATGATTAACAAACAAGTCCTCACAATGGGAAGTTGACATTTTCTCGGTGCCTCAGTCTGTTGCTTTCAACCACCCAGTGTGTATGTGTGTGTGTCTGTCTCCCGCCTCTTTTGCCGTCTTCAGGTTCAGAGAGAAACAAAAAAAACTCTCCTCCCTTTGAACAGTGTAAAGAACAAAGCTCCACACATTGCTGTATTTAGGTTTTCAATTATAACTTGTAAAAGGAAACACAGTAGGTGCCCTATGCATTCATAGTAATTACCAGAGGATGGTTAGCGGCGGATAAGAATAAGGCGATTATGTTTCACAGTAATTATGCTTCTCTGATGTTCCTTGTGAATAGAGAGTACAGGAGGAATAACTTTGCTGATTTGACAGAATGATATATCACCTTATTTAACAGCAGCAAATGACTCAATCTGACTCGGTCATTTCCAAATACAATCTGATTCAGCAGTAAATGTGCCAACTACAAGGATGTCCTCATTGCATCAGGGCAAACTTGAGCTTTTTGAAATCTTCTATAATGTGCAAAACACTGTGACATGCCAAGGTATTTATCCCACGTTTCTCTGCAGACCCTGCAGTTCTCTATGGCCCTGACCCACAGTATGAATCATGGACTTTTAGGGAGCAGACCTACAAATTACTGGCATAAATATGGGGCAACATGGAAATACTCCAAACTACAAACCAAGGTTAAATATCCATTTAGACACATTCCCTGCTACTCAGTCAGATTCAGTCAATGACAGACCAGGAGCAGACACACAATTTGCTTCATTTAAAGCTTCTGTAATGGATAGTCTGAATTTAAATCAGAGCAGCTTGTGCATATGCTCTGCAAGAGGTAATTTGTAGAGTATCTGTGGAACTAAAGTGGGTGGCTAAGGTGGGTATTTTACTGAGAGGCAAGCAAGTTTCATGACAGTTCTTTCAGCTAATGGCTCTCTTCTCTGCTTGAAAACACATCCGAGCAACTTCAATCCACCCTACTAATATGTGCGCAAATACCACACACACACACACACACACACTAGTCAGCATGTGTTTGATACAGGCAGGCAAAGATAACAAGCTCAGTTTTGCTGTGTATTTTTTTTTCTATCCTAAAAGTTCTGCATTTTTTGACTATGGCTTACTGAGATGCCAAGCAGTGTATTTCTGACAATGAAATTCACAGTCAGTTTTTATTTATAACTTTCCAATCTAACTTGCCATTGAGAGTGAAAAAAAGAATTTCTGACACTTTAAGATTGAGGTTGAGATGGCTATAATGCAAAAAAATATAACTGACTTGCAGTTAGACTGTCTCACTCACACGCGCGCGCACACACACACACACACACACACACACACACACACACACACACACACACACACACACACACACACACAGAGAAGAGATGAGCCGGCTGTTAATGAAAGGTTTTGTAAACAACCCGCCCTGACATAAAAGCGAGCTGATTACTACTCTGGAACAAAGCGGCAATGAAGTGAGCTAGCATCTCTAATACACACACAAACATAGGAAGATGTCATATAGTATCTATTCAAAGCACTACAGACACATAAATACACACGCTGTAGAGCATAAACACATACACAAAGCAGGCGCATGTTAACAGTACAGCATAAAAGTGCATCTTCTCCTGATCCACAGCGAGACATCATCATCTACACAACTGCACACAAGGCTGCACGCGCACACACACAGCACATTCACAGATTCTACTGAAGCACAGCAGGATATTATTATAATCCCCAACAGGTGGGAGGCAGAGCACCAATCAAGGTCACCTCTGCTGCAGTGAATGGTGCGTGGCCCTGATAACAGCAGACTGAAGGAAACCCAGCTTTATAAATCAACCTACTGACAGGAAGAAGAGTAGTAGGAGGAGGAGAGCAACAAAGAAACAAAGCAGATCTAAACCTGTATGTGTGAGTGAGACAGAGTGTCATTACAGCTTTGTAATTTTCATCGATTTATAGTTTCAGTCTGGGTCCAGTGGTGTTTAAGTTACTATTTTGTGATCAAGTGCATTGCAGGCAGGTTCACTACTCAAGCTCACAGAGTTTTTTTTTGTCATTTTGCAACCAGATGTGCTGGAGCAGAACCACAGCTGTGACTTACCACAACAACAGCCACCAGTTCTGCTCTAATATGTCACACTGTTCCTTTTCTTTTTGTGTTTCATCTCATATTTTAATGTTTTTTTAATAAGGATGGCATAGTGACAATACAGTTTACCTGTGATATGAAGAATCTAAACATCAGTGGGGGAAAGTAACTGTTCTTAAGTACAACTTTGAGGCAACCGTATGTTACTTGAGTATTTTCATTTTCTGCTGCTTCATACCTTGACCACACTACATTTCAGAAGCAAATATTGTCCTTTTTACTCCACTACATTTATTTGATAACTTTTGTTACTAGTTACTTTTCAAAACAGATTAATACAAACATTACAGTATAATCTGTAATGTAATTCAAATAAGCAGAAAAGATACTTAAAACTAGCCCCTCTTTACCAGCTGAAACATTAAATGTGATGTACACAATAATGACTCAGTAATTATAATCTAACAATATACATTAATGCTAAATGTGCCTTTTTGCATAAGGAGACTTTTACTGTTAGCATTTTAAGCATATATTGATGGCAACACTTGTACTTTTACTTAAGTAACATTTTGAATGCAGGACTTTTACTTGCAACAGAGTATTTTTACACTGGGGTACTGCTACTTTTACTTAAGGCATTTGACTGCTTCTTCCTGTATCTATAACTGTAAAAACACAATATACTATAAGTATGGCAACTGGGGCTGGGCAACACAGCCAAACACTGTCACAATATTATTATGTTTAATATTGAGTGAAATGATCAATATATACAATTAATACCATTAATGTCAGGCCTCAAGGATACACAGAGTGTGTTACAGTGAGAAACACTGAATCTAAACTGAACTTGTTTACAGGAAAACTCTTCAGGGCACCTTTTAATTTGAAGATCAAGGGGAAATTCATCCAAGGTTTGTGATGGTTCCACACTATCATTTATTCTTGGATTAATAACCTTATGCTCTCAGTGACCAACATTTATAGCTCAACAAGGCAACAGAAACTATGCTTAAGCATATTGGTTATTGCACATCTGTACAAAACAATGTATCTAATGATTAAGTGCCACATATTAATAAAAGTTCAATTCAACAAGTCACAGAAAAGGCTCGGTGTTGACTGAACCGGCAGACAGGAGTGGCTGCAGCCCAGGTCTGATCTAATGTCAGTACAAGGAGCTTGTTTACTTTGCTGCTAGTGCAAGCTGTACATTTCCATAGCTTGATGTGCAGGCTGCTACACTGTGACAAGGGCACTAAGTGATACCAGAGACTGCGCTCAGTATGAAATTTGCTTTGATTTGCTATCAATGTGTTCTCATCTCCACCTAAAAGCCACTTTATTATGTACACACAGATTCAAAGTGTCTATAAATAAGCTTTATAACACGGTTAATTGTTCAGTGATGCTCTCTGAATGTGTGTGTGTGTCCTTCTTCTGCTCCATCAGCAAATATAAAGTGCACATATAGCATTAGAGTAAAATTAAACTGTGCAAAAAATATATAGGGTTATAGTCCATAAAGATTGACATGTACTGTAGTGTGTAGCTCAAAGGAGGTTGGACACGCTCAATTGCTGCAACTTTTAGAATATGTGAGATCCCCTACATTCCTTTAGTGTCCTATGATAAATGATCACCCACCCAAAACCAAATAAACTAGCCTAAAGCAAGTAAAGCATCCTTCAACTGAGTAATGAGATTCTGTCTTTGTACTTTAGGCCAGAAATCTGTGGGAAAAACATCACAGAAAAAAAAGTGAGCTGTAACTCTTGTAAAACCAATCTAAAAGCAACCACAGTTTCTCAAATTCAGCCACAAGCAT